CCAGGGCGGGAGGGGTGAGGGGCCTGGGGGGACGCTCCCTCCTCAGTGGTCCACTCCAATGGGAGCAGCAGGAGAGTTGTGCAGAGGCCTGTGCAGCCTGGGAGCCACTGAGAAGAGCGTCTACCCTCCCTGCCTCGGAGGAGCCCGGGCAGGCTGAGGGAACAGGCCTCAAATGCCAAGTGGACACGCCTGGAGAGGCTGAGTCTGGGAGAGTGGGACTCGGGGCTTGCGGCCGGCTGGGCGGGCCTGAGGCACCCAGGACGATTCCCGGAGTCGGGTCCACCCCGGGGGGAGCTGGAGGAGCGGTTGTGGGGCACAGTGCCCATGTCATGGGGCACATCCCCTCGTCCCCCAGACGGCCGCTGTCTGTCAGGCACAGGACCGGGAGACACACGCGGACAGGGAGTCCCACAGAGTCACAGCCATCTGACGGGGCTGGGCGGGGCCCTCGGGCGGGTCAGAGAGTCTTCCTGGGAAAGCATCATCTGAGCCAAAAGTGCAGCCCAGTGCAGGTGAGGGACAAGAGGTCACCCGGCCCAGGAAACACGGGCACCATCCCGAGGCCAAGGGGGAGATGAGAGAATGGCACTCCAGGGAGGTGAGGACTCCGTCGTGGCGTTAGAGAGAGATCCTGGGGTGCTGTAGGGGTCGGAGTAGGGGGAGCCCAGCGTCAGCAAGGGGGGCGTGGGCATGCTGGTAGCAGAGGGGATGGGGACAGGGAGTAGAGGAAGAATGTCCGTGGGATTTTGAAGTCAGGATCGGCGGGTCTTGGCGATGCAGTCGAGAATGGACGTGTCCAGGTTGGCACCCAATTTTCGGTCCATAGACATCTCTGCTTAGAAGCCCCGTAAGCGACAAGTTCCACAAACGCCACAGGTCCCAAAGAGGACGTCTTTCACCCGCCCTTTCCCACTGGCCCTCGCTGAGTGACTGGGGTTGCATGTCATCTCTTCACTCTGTCGCCCATCGAATATTTTACTGAAGATGACTGTATGGAGAGAGGTCAAGGCCAGAACTCTGGGGCAGGGGCCATTGGCAAATGGCACAGTCAGGGCTCCTCCGACAAGACTGGACCCCCGCCTCCAGGGAGAAGGTGCCAGAAGGGCAGATGCTGGGACCTCCTGAAACCCGGAGAGCCCCTGGCCAAGCAGAGGGGCCTTGCGTTCAGCCCGAGGGGACAGTTTCTGGTGAAGTGGCTGCCAGAGCAGACGAGGGCTGCAGAGAGCAGAGAGGATGCTGGAGGGGGAGCAGGGCTGGGCCACAGCGGCCTTCAGCTGGCACCGGTCTAGAAGGGCGCTGGGTGTGCCCTGCAAGGGCCACAGCTGGGGACTATCCCGGACCTGGGAGGAGATGTGAGAGGAGACGGTGGCGGGGCAAGCATCAGAGAGGAGGCCCTCCTGGGGTCGGGGCCAGCCCAGGCTGCCCCTGTGAGTGGCCTGGAGCCCTGAGCACGCTCTCGCCCACAGGCATCATCGACAGCACGCACACCGAGCAGCGGCAGGTGGTGGCCGTGACAGGGGACGGGACCAACGACGGGCCTGCGCTCAAGAAGGCCGACGTGGGCTTCGCCATGGTAAGAGCGGCTCGCTGGGGCCTGGGCGGCATCGGGCAGGAGTCCCAGACAGGGCCGCCGGTTGACCTGGCTGTGCGGGACCCCAGCTCAGCCCCCACCCGCCCTCCCTCTGCCACGGGTGTGCCCGGCGCGCTGGAGGCTCAGCCTGGGCCCGAGGGCTTCCTGGAGGGGTGCGGGAGCCTCCTTTCTCAAAGAGCTTTGTGAAGAGGGGTGCTTGCAAGTCAGGGAGGAGGGGGAGGGAGGGAGATATGGAGGCAGAGGGTCGGCCTCCAGGGGCTAGGTCTTCGAGGGGCGTGAAGAGACAGGGAGGGCTCCCTGCGGAGTCTGGCCATGCTGTCCGTGGGGTGTGTGCACTGGGGGTGGTGTCGGTCTGAGGGTGTGGGGGTGAGGACTGCGGTGCTGGGGGCGCCCCTCCCCTGACTGCCCCACTTCTGCCCCTGTCGCCACAGGGCATCGCGGGCACCGACGTGGCCAAGGAGGCCTCGGACATCATCCTGACGGACGACAACTTCAGCAGCATTGTCAAGGCGGTAATGTGGGGCCGCAACGTCTACGACAGCATCTCCAAGTTCCTGCAGTTCCAGCTGACAGTCAACGTGGTGGCCGTGATCGTGGCCTTCACGGGCGCCTGCATCACGCAGGTGGGTCCTCGGGGTGAGGCAGCGACCCCTGCTGGGCCTGGGGCCTCAGAGCACCCCAGGCTGTCCACGTCAGAACACCCGGGGACAGGGCACCAGGAAGCGCGTCACAGACCCCAGGAGATGAGGCTCAGAGGGGTGGGGGTGACTGGCCCCAGGTCGCCCAGCAAAGGGGAGGGGTCGGGCTCACCCGCCTGTCTGCCTGGCCCAGGACAGGCCTCACCCTGGCTGAGGAGGGGAGAGAGGGAAGTCAGGGCCTTGGCCTCCTAAAGGCCAGAGGGAGGCAGGCGCGGGGCAAGACCCGAGGGACCCAGGTTGCCTGCTGAAGACAGACAGCCAGCAGGGCCTGGACTGTGGTTCCGGTGCGCTGAGTCGCGTGGGGCAGCAGAGGCGGGTGGGCTTCCGTCTCACAGGCTGGGGCAGGAAGGAGCCTGTGCTGACCGCCACCGCCAGGTCTCGAGCAGCCCATGCACTAAGCCCAGTGGGGAGGCTTCAGATGTCCACAGACTCGCTGCTTCTTCATCCTAGCCCCGTGAGGCGGAGACTGTGATGACCCCGTTTTACAGAAGCAGAAACTGAGGCCCAGAGGATGGACCGGCCAGGCATCTGCCGTGGCTCCTGGTATCCTGGCCGACCTGCCTCCCTGCAGGGGCTGACCAGCCTGGCCTGGGGCAGAGGGGACGGGGCACCCTTCGCCCCAGAGATCCCGGAGGCCTGACCCTCCCAGGAGCCCCCTGGGCAGGCAAGCCTCTGTCCACCCGAGCCCCCAGAGGCCCAGAGTGCAGGGCTGCCCCAAGAGCTGCCCCAAGAGCCGTGTGGCCCTGGGAATGCTGCCCCTCCCCCACCGTTGCATCCTGAGCTGAGGGGACAAACATGGCAGCCTCTGCTATCCCAACCCCAAAAATCAGAGTCCTGAGGTTGGCTGGGGTTCCCTTAGGACCTCTCTCCTGGTCTGTGGATGAGGAGCTCCCTCTAGGGGCAGCCTGGGGGACACGCGCATGGCCATAGCCACTCAGTACAAGGAAGGCTTCCTGGAGACCGGACCTCCTGCAAGATGGGGAAACTGAGGTTCTGAGATGACTATCGGTTTGCCTGAAATGTTCAACTGAGTTGGCAACAGGGCCATGCGAGCCTTGGTTGGAAGACAGGTGGACGTGACCCTGAGCCGCATGGACTCAGAGGACTCAGTGAAGGCTGAAGGGCAGGAAGAAGCCGCGGAGCTGGGGAGGTGCCTGCATGTATGGGGTGCCGGCAGAGGAGGCCTTGAAAACCGCACTGAGGGAGGGCGTGCAGGGTCTGTGGGCTTCCTGGAGAAGGTGTCCCCCAGGGTGCAGGAGGGATATGAGGCTAAAGTCGCAGGGAGAGGTCTGGGCTGGAGAGAGGCCATATCGGGGAGAGGTGAGTTGCTAAAGCCAGGGGTTCGGGCACAGAGCTGAAAGGAAGGGGCCACTGACTTATAAGGGAGGACGGAGGAGCCCTTGGGGTGGGGGGAGGGTGACGACCAGGAGAGGAGGGCCCGGGCCTCCGGGAGGCAGCGGCCAAGGGCAGTGCTGAGACCAGCCAGATGAGGTTGGAGAAGGGGTCCCTCAACCTGGGATGTGGAAGTCATTGGTGACCTTGGAGAAGGGCACTTGGGGTGTGGACGGGCCGAGGTCCGGCTGCTGCGGACCAGGCACACGGGGTGGGAGGCAGGAGAGGACCCGCAGCTCCAGTTCCTCGGCAGTAGCGACCTCTCAGCCAGAGAGAGGGTTCTGGAAGGACGTGGGCGGTGGTTGGCCCTAAGTGGTGGGATCCTTCTTGGGTTTTAGCTTCTCTGGCTATCCCTTGCTTGCTGAAATTTCCTCGCATGAAAATGTGTTATCTTTGGAATCACAGATACACACAATAATGCTTTGAGGGAAGGTGGGATGATAAGAGGCGAGGGGCGGCCAGGCTCGGTGGCTCAGCCTGTAATCCCAGCACTTTGGGAGACCGAGGTGAGTGGATTGCCTGAGCCCATGGGTTCGAGAACTGCCTGGGCAGGCGAGACCTC